TGATTGGTTGATTAGATAATTGCATTAATGAGAAATTGAACAGGTGTTCCTAATAATCCTTTAGGTGAGTGTATATGTCATACATGTTCTCATTCAGTTGTCTAGAAATAAATATATACAGTAACAGATACTTAATTCTTCCTCATTTTTACAATCCTTTTTTCAATAATAGATGCAAGCCACATGACTTCACAAGAATAGCTTCAATACAACAAACTTTGCAATCACAAAAAAGCAAAATACAAATTCATCACAGTGGCAAAATGAGGATTCACCTTCACATGTAATAATGATGTAATCACACTTTGCTCACATAGCAGATGCTGTGAATACGGTTCTTGATATATGATTCATTCATGCTGAACAAATCATGTGTAATTATCAAAGGGGAGATAAAGATGAAAGTTTGCCATTTCTAACCGCCTGAAATCACTACATGTGTAAATGGTGGCAAGTGGAGTTACATACTGTTCTCATGTAGTTACAGTTTTAAAATGATTGTTTTCATGACAAATGTTCTCTTTTTGTCTATCCCAGCAGAATTATGCTGAATGAAAAAAAAACCAAACGTATGATTATTAAATCATTTTTATGTGTAAGAATTGGGAATGAAAACACTGTTTTCATTCTGTACTCCTTATTCTATTCTCTAAGTGGACTGGATTTAAATGAAACAGAAAACACATTGCTGTTTTTCAGTCGGTGTTCTGACCATTATGGTTAATTCATGAGGCTGGTTTGCTACAGCAATTTGAATAAGACAAGAAATGGGCACAGTCTTCCAATGCTTTAAACCACATATAGCAAAATGTAATGGGACATTCATTTGCTATGATGTCTGTAAAAATAGAATTGAGAGACATTTGGATGATGCACTATCGCCAAGCTGGATGATGATGAAAAACATTCACAGCCTAGGATGGACGCGAACACACATGACTAGAAATGCAGCCGTCTTTAGAACTATCTGCAGAGGAGTCTTAATGAAAAATTTCTCTTTATCTACTGGGCACAGTGTTTCTATTTTGGAAAACAGATTTTTCCTTTTGTACTGAAAGGTTTATGCTGAATGTCACTTAAAGGGTGAAGCACCTGTGAAGACAGACAAAGCTTCCTCTGCAACACAGTGATATATCCAACATGGCAGCACGCTCCCTTTTGAGCTAACAAGGAAATAATGTAGCTGTCATCCATGCTATTTCCTGCCGCTCTCAGACTCTCAGAGGTGACACGGTCTCTGTTTGAAGTCTAAGGTGCTGTTTTGTGTTCTCAGGATCCGGGTCTGTTATGCTGGTACTCTTTCAGCTCTGTGCATGTCAAAAATGACGAGTTACGCTGACGGACAGTGGAATCCTTTTGCAACCTTCTACAATTTTAGGATTTTTTTTCAAACGTCAATATTCGTTGGCCGCAATGAGAGTAGGACAATTATCCTTTTGGCATTCTAAATACATAGACATATAGCATGTCGCTACATTATTAGGCTAAAATATAGAACTGGCGTATAGAATGAAAATCTTTCTTTCTTAATTCTGCTCAAGAAAATTCACAGGCCACCTGAACTGAAAATAATTAACAAGCCATGAAATTAATATTTTGAACACTGAGTATGCGTATAAAGCTTAAAGTTTTGGGCAATTATGAAAATGACTCTTACCTTCCCCTTTCCCTGAAGGCTGATGAAAAAAAAAACAACGAATACCGTTATTGGCACATTCAGTCTGAGACTAATTCTGCTGCTTTGACTTTACTGTAGCCATGATCCTCCCTTGCTTGCCAGGTGATATTAATTAGCATTAGCTAATCAGAGATCAGTACACAGTCTCCTTGATAACATTGGTAGAGCAGGTGTGGTTGCTGGAGGTACTATTGGAGTATCTGGTCAGGACCTGTCTCTGCTTCTTCTGGTGGCAGGGCAGGCAGAAGTAATTTACCATGGAGAAAAAGATCTGCCTGTAGTTTGCCGATACCAGGTTGTAGAGGATGGGGTTGATAACAGAGCTGACATAGAACAGCACGTTTGTCACCATGTAGAAGTAGTGGTAGAAGTCATAAAGGCTGCTGTGGGAGAAAGGAGACAGGAAGGGAATGTTGCTTGATCTCATCAATCCATGCAGAAGGTCTATACAGAACCACTTGTCTAGTTTATTTTTTTACATAATAGTAGAAACATTAGTTGGTTTGCCACATACCACATACCGTAACTGCCAGAAAATGCTTTTCCTAATTACTGATTAGTCTCTAACAGCTCTGTAATTTTTTTTTATTAATTAATTTTTAAAAAATCAATTTATTTATGTACAAAGATTTTGGCCAAATTGGCTACTTTTCCTAATTTTCTCTGGTTGGACTGGATGTATTCCCAGAGCCATCAAAGTGGCTCTGCAGTGTTTCCTAGACTTATTGGCATCAACAGGGATTTTTATGGTTTTAAATAATTTGTTTGATTATGTCAACTGCCTTGCATCTACAAATACTGTATTGTACCATGGTCACACACCACAATCTCATTCCCATATGTGATGCTCATTATTGTTGTTTGCACTTTGTGTATAGTACTTGTCTTGTATATGATCTGTATATTAACCAATCAATCAATCCTTTATTGTCCCTCATGGGGAAATTCTTTTTACGCCTCCCTCAGCATGCTGTCCACAAAGGGCAGCCACCTGTAGCGGAGCCCAGGGAGCTGGGGGTTAAGGGCCTTGCTCAAGGACCTGCAGACATGCTAAGGCTGGGTTTGAACTGGCGATCTTGTGATTACAGGTACACAGGCTTAGCCCACTGAGCCACAGCCTGCCCCATATTGCATTGTTGTGCATTGTTTCTGGCTTGCGCCCGTAGCCTTTGATATAGCTCCTGACCCCCTGTGACCCTGAATATAGCTTGAGGGACACCTTTGGCCGGAACTAAATTTAACATACTTGGCCAATAAATCTGATTCTGATGAAGTTCCTATTTCTGATGACCTCAGTCCACAAACACTGCAATCCTTTTCTAACTCTTAAGATTAAGAGAATTAGAAAGATATACAGTATGGTCATTTATGCAGTAAAAACAATAGTTCCAGCCGAGTACATTAAACCAATGTAATCATTGTGTCAGCATAAGCACAATGAGGTGTTGTAATAGACAACAATAATACTGTATCCATTCAGTATTTCAATAACAGAAAAACTGCTTCAATAGAGCTATACGGAACAAGATCTTAGTGCCAAAAGCATGGGAAGTTTATAACCCACAGCTGTTTGCCCTTTGTACAGTGGAGCTGAGATGTCTGTAATGAGTCCCGTTTGAAGGGCCCTCCATAGTACCCTTGAAAATGACACAACCTCAATTGCTAAAGTAAAAACTTTCAGCTTTACTTTAGGGTTAAAAAAGTTGCTTTGGATAAATTCATCAGCCAAACAAGCAAGCGTAACTCAGCAGAATGGAAAAAAGCCATTCGTTATTGCGTTCCTTGCTAGCGCACTTGCGTAATCAGGATATGAACATGATGCACTTTTATGTAACTCTCCTCAGCAGCCTTTACCTGTATTATTATATTATTAAAAGCTAAGTCAGTATAGTTTTGGTAAAAACTAAAACATCCTATATAATTCCTCTCAAGTGTCCCTTGGCCTTCACAAGCATGCATTCATTTAGTCCGAGTGAAGAACACTTTTTTCTCCCATCATCTGTAAGGCTGAATAAAATTTGAAAAACCATGGCAACTGTAAAAGGAAACATATGCAGTCAACACTCTTAGTCAGGAATATCTGACCAAATCCCATTGCTAACAGCCTTTTAAATTCTGTGCTCCTGTCAGATTGGAATATTGATTTAGTTAGGTACCAGACACACTATGACTGCTTAAAATTCTTCTTTCGGTTTTTTTTTAGTTTGTTACTTGTGTGTTTTTCAATGAGTAACCTATGGATGATGATCTTTAAACATCATATACACACTAACCTGCAACCCTTTACCAAAAACTTGGTAATAAGATGGATGGATAGATCGAAGGAATTTTACAGTATTTCATCTGACATTCACCACTGTAAATGAGAGTGCATTCCCTTCTCTGAATAGCTTTGCATTTTGCCTTATTTGCACTGACCAGCCGCAGTGCATCATGTATCGGTGGCATGTGACACAGTTCACTGTGTAGCGATGTCTGTGGTTCTGCTAGCATTCTAACATGAGTGGTGTGTGATTCCCAGAATACTGTCACATTGGTACATATTGCTGCAATCTGCTCAGGAGCTGAAAAGTCAGTGTAATTACCTACAAGACTTCTGATTAAAATGGTAACTTTGCTTGACCTTTGGATTTGATAATTCTCTCAATGGGTTCCTCCTAAACAGTGAAGCAAAATAGTACCACATTACGATCTGAAGTGTCACTCTGCTCCAAACATTCCTTGTGACATACTGTATGTGATTTGTTTATTTGTTTCTGAAAACAATCCTGCAGAACGACTCCTTTTACCTAAAAGGCAGGACAGAAAACATCACAGGCCTAGAATATTCCATATGTAAAATAAGTCATTTATGAACAGGTATTCATGAATGCACCTTGACCGATTTGATCTGCGGCACTCACTCTGTCCACTCAGTGACGTAGCAGAACATGAGCCGTCTCGTGTGGTAGGGCAGCCAGCACACCACAAACGCGATGACCACAGCACCTGGCAAGGTACAGGGCCGCCCAGAGACGTCACCGAGGGAGAGAGAGAGGGAGGGAGAAGAGAGACAAACAGTACTGTCACTGCAGGGGGCAAAAAAGACTGAATGAAGAGCCGTATTCAGTATTTTTGCCAAAACATTTTTTAATTTAAGCGTTAATTTGTTAAGACTGCTAGTTTCATCTATCCAATCTATCTATCCAATCTGAAGTGAATTTACAGTAATTGACTGTTTACAGTTTTTTCCAATCATTTTCACACTTGTCTCAATACCATGTCCACTTTTTCAAAATTACTTCACACTGTGAACTTTACAAACATGCACCTGAGCATATCAGTTAACTTTCGGTGCAAAATGCACTAAAATCACCAAAACACTTCACCCAAAAGTGACACATGCTGCCAAAGCTATAGCACATGCACTCTCTCACAAGACGACTGTCACACAAATACAAAGCATGAAAAAACACCAACCACTTGAAGCGCTGCAAAATGCATATATATGATGTGTTGTTGTATCCTATATTTTCACACAATGTTTATTGCAAAATAAAAGAAAAACATATGACATTTCTTACAGTAAACATTGTAATACAAACAAATAATACAGTAAATAAATTCAGCTGCTCAATACACTGGAAAAGAAAAATACATTACAACCACCTACTGAAAGTACATTACATTCAATACAAAAAACAACAAATCTCTTTGAGTGCCTTATCCAGCTCTGGATGTCCTCCACATGGATGTCTACACACCCAGCAGCCATTGCATCTAAAAGCGACATCTGATCATGTAGCCGATGGTCATATACCTTCCATACCCATGCAGAAAAATTTTTTCAATGGGATTGAGGAATGGAGAGTATGGGGGCAAGAATAATGACATCATCCTGGGATGGGGAATAAACCACTCTGTGACTTGGCGGGAATGATGAAAGGCCACATTGTCCCACACAATCACAAATACTTGTAAATTCTTCCTCTCCCACCTGTGGAAGGTAAACACTAAATCCTACAGTAGTGGGTTCAGTAAAGACAAACATGCACCGATGCATCAGTTTTTTTCCCAGAGACTTTCCTCAAATCACACCACTACGGTAATATACATATCAATCAAATGCCTTCAGTCAGAATGCTCTAAATAGTGTATAGTATCTGTTGCTTTTCCTGAAAATCCTGACAATTGATGCCACTGTGGATCTAGGCAGGTGGGGTTAAACTCTTAGACCCGCTTCTCTCAGGGACAGACCATGAGTTGCAACATGGTCAATTACCGTGGCTCTGATTTCATCAGTAACCATGGTTCTTCCTCTGCCTCTTGCGGCATCCATTTTTTACTAGCTAAAGAAAAATGGCAATGGAATATGCCAATCCAAAGATGGCTCCTTTTGTACATATGGCAAATTGGCACTAACCACACAAATTCCTAGATAGGTGCTTAGCTGAAATTACAGGCAGATGTATGTTTTCATTCAGCTATCCAGCTTCAAGCATTGTAAAATGCTTGGTGGTGATCTAGGGGGATGGTGGTGGTCTAGTAGTTAGGGATCTGGCTGGGCTCCCATTAGGAACACCGGAAGGTTGTGAGTTCACTCCCAGGGGGTGCCACCATTGTGCCCCTGAGCAAAGCCCTTGACCCCAACTTGCTCCAGAAGGACTGTCCCTGTAGATACAGTACTTCACTGTAAGTCGCTTTGGATAAAAGTGCCTGCTAAATGAATAAATGCAAATGTTTTACTGTAATATATGTGTTGCCTTACCCACTATTTATGCACAGAATACATTGTGTTGCGATGCAAAAAGGAAAGGGGCACTCTATGACCTCATTTGTATAAATGGTAACAAAGCCGCAAACAAAAACAAAATTACGAAATTTCTGCTAAAAGCATAATTATTTGTATTAGTGCAAGTGCACAGTGTCCTTTGTCTGTCATAATGCAGCATATTTCAATTTACATTGCTCTTCATTAGGTTTTGACCTGAAAGTTTTAAACAGATTATCTAAACGTCTGAAAAATCAGCTGTAGTTGTACAAAGTTTTGCTGGTGGCGAACAGTGACTGAGAGAAGTATTCATGAAATTTGGAGGAAGTGGTGATTGAATGCATATTGTGTCAAATAAATGCAAACGTATACATAGTTTAGCTCACATGGTCCAATGGTATGGTGCATGTGTTAAGTGTTGTGAAAAAGTGGACATGGTATTGAGACACGCGTTAAAATGATTGGAAAACGCAAGACACACGTTACAGTTTTTTCCAATCATTTTAACGCGTGTCTAATTTTGTTTTTGTTTGCTGCTTCGTTACCATCTACATCATCTATACAAATGAGGCCATGGAGTGTCCCTTTCCTTTTTGCAAGGCAACACAATGTAATCTGTGCAAAAACAGTGGGTATGGTAACACATATATTACAGTAAAACATTAGTTGTACGGTAACTACAGAGACTGTCCCCCTGGAGCAAGTTGGGGTCAAGCGCCTTGCTCAGGGGCACAAAGGTGGCACCTCCTGGGATTGAATTCACAATCTTCCAGTGTTCCTACAGTAATAGGACATTGTTATGGCAGCATGAGTCACTTTTGGGTGAATTGTGAAACATTTTGGTGGTTGTAGTGCATTTTGCGCCAAAGGTTAAGTGATGTGCTCAGGTGTGCATTGGTACAGCCCACTGTGTGTAGTGTTGTGGAAAAAGTGGACATGGTATTGAGACAAGTGTGAAAATGATTGGAAAAAACTGTAATATTCTATTCTTTACTATTGGTGTCACTGATAATACTCAGTACCTCAAAAAGCTCAGTACCTCTAAATCTCAGCTACTACATATCTGCCATAAGAAGCAGAACTAGAATTCATCATTATTCATCACCTAACTTATAAATATCAAACAAGGGCAAGAAGCTCTGTATATCTTATAAGAAGCTCAATGGACTGTAAATTTAGGATAGATAATTTATTAATGCCATGACCCTGTTTAGCACTTGCATGCAAACATGAAAACATGAAAATGAAAGGGACAGCAATTCTGATACCAAAGGAGGAGTCCAAAATAAGAACAACAAATTTTTGATGAAGCATTGTTTATTCCTCCCTGGTACCTTTGGGGGGGTGTCATTCACCAAGTGACAAGAGTTACTGATCATCCCAAGTACTTATTAATTTCCACATGTCTCTTGTTCCCTGGGTTTGTTTAACCCTCAATGGTTCCTTGGGGTGCGTTCTGCACCCCCTGCCCATTTCTCTGGCTACTACCATGTTGTTATTAAAATTACAGCAGTTATCCTCTAGGACATTGTAAGTGCACCAGTTTTACATACGGTCATGCAGAAAATGATAGAAAAAGTGTTGACGTCAATTATCGCTGGCATACTTTCTTCGGGGGTGCAAAATGCACCCCAAAAAAAACTTAATTTATGACAGATGTCTGTGGAGATTCTCAGTTATCCAGGTCATGGTTATCCTAAAAAATGGGTTATGCAATAGCAACTGGACTTTGTTTTTCATAGAAGAAGTGTTGCACTCCATCCAGAGTGCTTTCTC